TTACATGGCTTCAAGCAACTATATGGAGACCATCACCTCGATAAAAGATCAACAACAAACAGCTGACCTGTCAGATGAACTATTTGATTTCCCCTCAGTGCCAGCGAGACCCCAATGCAAGCTGTCCTATCTTGAAAGAGTTCATTTTTTATCAAACAGGGCATCATCTGTAACCAATAGACGGCCTCTTCTTACGAAATGAGAGCCTGCTCGACAGATGTCTCCTGCCTCTCTCACTCTCTCTTTCTCCCCATTTACGTCCACGTCTTCGATGGCACTTCTCGACTCGAGTCAGGATCAAGGTTGTTTACCGATTCTCTGGGTAATATCAGGAACATGTGCTGGGGGCACATGAAAGAGACTCCACGGTGTGTTAACACCCAAAACAAACCTGTACATTTATGTTTGGGGGATTTAAACTATGGTTTCAACGTGAAATTAAGTGGTCGTGCTTTTAGGGAGTTTGTCTCGTGGTGACACTGAACAGGAGCTGAAGGATGAAATGTTTTTGGAGGGGCGGAGTACCTGAAATGTCAAATCTCTTTTACATTGCATTTAATCTTATTGCTGATGAAAACTCGCTTAAAATAATGAAATCAGCGTGACCTATGGTATGACGAAGTAGCAACCTCCAGAAATGAAAAATGAAGCCAATGTGGAAGTGGAAAAAAACTGCAATTCCTTAAGTGTACACTTGAGGATGACTGCAAAAGTAAAGGAATCCCCATTAGGTTCTGTATTAAAAAGCCTATTTTAACAGCAGAAATAAACATGTTTATAGCCTGGTTCAATAAACAAATTTAGTATCAACGGCTTAATTCTTTATTGGAACTCACTGTATGAGCAATGATAGGTTAATTTTGGGGCTTTTTATGCCCTTATTAGAGATGGGACAGTTCATAGAGGCAGAAATCGGGGAGAGAGAGAAAGTGGGGAATGTCATGCAGGAAAGCGCCTACTGGTCAGACTGTTTACCAGGAGGCTAAAGTACCACCTCAGCCCCATTTCTAGATTGATCTAGAAAGAAAGGTTGTGATAGCATCCACAACAGTTTGACCACCATTGTTGGGCTACCTATTGACTCTTTAGAAAACAAATGGGGGAGGTCACTGAAACTACATCCATGTTTTATACAATATATGGCTATGACAAGCGATAAACAAAATGTCATTGTTATTATCAAAATATGAGATACAGATGGCAATAAGATTTCACTGTGCATTGTATGAACATGGTAAGGTTTGGAAACATTTGTATGTTGATCCTAACACCTGAGGCATGTTCCTTACATTTCCAGTTTCTCTTTCCTCCTGTCTTTGATCAGTTTTCCACACTTAAACACTTTGTGGCGTAATACGACTAAGTCTTGGGCTTCGCTGTTGTGGTTTTCATGGGATTTAATGCTTAGTTTGAGTCCCACAATGTGGTCTCATGTGTCTTATGCTGGAAGTGTGTATAGTTCACATTCTCTGTGTAGGAGAGGGTGGCAATTTAAAGGAATCTAAAGAAAGTCTTCTATGAAATATAAAAGTTTTATAGATGGTGATCTCCCCTTTGTTCTTCCAATGAGGACCTCCACCTGTTTCTGATGATATGAGCCAGAGCCTGTCCCTTTCAAGAGGCTGATCCCTCCTGATCTCTTTGATGTAACCTGACCTAACAGTTCCAACTAGCGGGATTTGATGATCACGGATGGACTCTCGACAACAGCATGTGTAAATCAAAACTAACAGGCATGGGGAGACGGACTACAAGGATGTGTGAGCAGAACTGGCAGGCCGCGCAGACAGGGAGCGCTCACAGAGCTATGATGTGTCTCAACGGCAGGCAGGCAACGGTCACATGATCAATGCTGCCAGCCCAGACTTAAGCAGTAAAACCTGTGGATCTGTGAGGGCACATGCAACTGATCGGAGATGAAAGACAGGCTTTGACTTTCACAGGAGGCCTGGAGTCGGGGTGGGGGCTACGGGAGCTATGGGGGCACTTCTGAGGGACTGCCATCAGAACAGCTGGGTCATTTTCAAATGACCTAAATCTAGGATTAATCCATTCGGACTTGCATGGTTAAATTTGTTTCTACGCTACGCAGAGACGATGGGAGGCAAAGGAAAAAAGGGACAGAGAGAATTACCAGTGAAAGCCAGAAAGGCTTAGCACTTGGAGTTCAAACAAGGTGCACAGTAGAGAACAAACCCCTGTGCACCAACAGTAGCAAAGCTCACCAGAGTTTCTAACACCAGCCTGTTTAACACAGAATCCTCCATCACTCTCTGAATCTACACATTCAAAACACCGAAGCATACACTTCTCACTCACTTTAGTCAGAGGATGTTTTTGACACACCGCCGGGGCATCTCTCCATATGTCAGAGGCCAGCATCCATCTGCGAGTGATTTGAGGGGTACATTTCTGGGGATGACGTGTGATAAAACAGGGAGGTATGGGTCAAAGTGACTAGACTCAATCTGTGACAGAGCCTCTCCTCCTGGGCCCTACCACATGGTTTAATCTATACAAGCATCTGTTTGAAGTTCCCAATGAATACCATCAGTTCTGCCGGTGACTTCATATCCATCTTACCTGGCTCAGAACAGTTCAACATCCTGGAGGCACACGGATTAAAGGAGGACAAAGTGTTTATACCTTGTCAGTGGTGTGAAGCAGATTAACAGTTGTTATTTTGTTGTGCCCATAGCAAACTTTAACATTGTCTAATACAGTCCCATTAAATCGCTGTTTTAGAAGGGCCCAATTTGAAAAAAGAGAAGTTCTTATGATGAGCATTTCGCTTATGTCGATTTTGGCGCCCCCTGTGGATGAAATAGTACGTCTTATTGCCTTTCTGATCTTGTTCATGACCGAACAGTCAAATGAAAATGTGAAATAAGGATTTGTTTTCAGCTAAACTTCTTGTCTGACAGCTACCTAAGGAAATGCAGGTACAAAAAACTGCCTTATAGATGTAGTCAGTCTTGTCACTGAAGGTCTTGTTTGCCTTTGTAGGCCATAAAGACGCACCAATATTAAATTCAGTCTGTTACATAAACTGTTACAAACTCCTAACAGGGGCTTTAAATATAGTTTTCAATCCACTCCTCTGCTTAAAAGGTCTATTGAGGCAAAGGGCCTGGTTTGGCCCATGAGCGGCTCGTTGAATAGGTCTTGTCAACAATATCCTGAGTTATTCTTTCTAGCTGTGTCGGGTGCGATACACAAAAATGGGCATTTAAATGTATTTGATATCAGTTAAAATACAATGAAAACAGTTTAAAGAGGAGACAAGTATGGAAAAAGATTTCTTTGGTAAGGGCCTGTGTCCATAGACAGTGCTTTATGTGCTGGAAGCGCTCACGAACTTGTTGCTTGGTTACGAAAGTTAACTTCTGCTTCCCTTGGTATATTGTTACATGTGTTTTAGATCGCTCTGTGTGCTTAATATTTGCTTTCATTTAACAAAAATTTAACAAAACATGTATATGAGTCGTGTCCTGGCATTAGCAGCAGCTCTAAGACGAGTCATACTAACGTCTCCTCTCGCCATTGTTGTTTACAAAGCCTGATGTTGTATTTCCCGACCCGTCTTTATTCTGATTGGTCAGTGAGGGAGAAGTGACATTGAAGTGCTGTTCCAAAAGTTAAACTGTTTTTAACTAAGAGCGCTGTGAGCACAGCGACAAAAAACAGCCGACACAGAGTACATACATGTAGTGTTTTTGGACCCTAAATCTCATCCTGCTTTCTTTAAAGTGTCTAACGTGCAATTCACAATGAATGTTTGGCATGGGAAATTATTGGAAAAGCTGGTGGCATGCTGTTTATCACCTGGTCTTACACTGACCGCAGGAGGCAGGGATAACAGGCATATAAAATCACTATTGTAGGTCATATAGAGATTTTGATTTCAGTCTGTTTACAAACTCCTCAGAAGCTTCAAGCTGCTCTAAAATTAAAGGCTGGTTGTCTTTTATAACTTTTATAACTATAAAAAAGGAATGTAAAGGTGCACAGTTGTAATGTAAACATTGCCAGACTTAACTGCAATGTCCCTTAAAAAGACACCGAAAGGTAAGAGGAGTTCTTCTATCAAAGACAAAACACGACTATGAAGTGCTACCTTGATGAAAAATTACTTCAAGCCTGCGGGCTTCACTTTAACTTCAATGTGTCCCTAAAATGAGAGGTTGTTAGTTATTGGAGGGAAGCCATAGATCGACCATGAAGAGGCACTCTTGCGCTAAAAAGCCAGCTTCCCATCAGGATGCTCTGCTCGACTTCAAATATACAGTAGAGCAGGAAAGTTTGGAAGAGACTGAAGTGGGAGGGAGGAGGATAGAGGAGGGGGAGAAAGAGTGATGGTTGCTTTGATCATTGGAGGCAGACTGGATTTAAAAAAAAAAAAAAGAAGTGTCCAGGTCTCTTTTTTTCTAAACTGAAAGAAAACATGGGCAAACCAAGCAGCCAGAACTGAGAGGAATCTTTATAAGTGCTGCTTCTTTCTCTCAAGAAAAAAAAGATACTTAAACCATATTTTATTTCAAGACATCTTGAAAAAAAAGGGAATTACAAATTTAAACAATAAAACGAATCAAAATACGTTTTTTTTTATTTAACCAGGTAAAATCTCTCTATTGTTGGTACTCTCCGTGAGTTCTGATCATGTTTTGTTGTTTCCCACTTGATTCTTGGGCAAGTACGTAACAAGATGGTATTCTCACTTCATAAATGTGTGGCGGGATGGGAAATGGGCATTTCAAGGCCAATAAAAGCCACCACATCAAATAAAACTTAGCGGATCAAAAGAACCAACGCATGGACATTTTTTCCCCCTCTATAAATTACAAAGAGGGGGCAGTCTGCCACGCTTGATCATGCCCCGAGTCCTGCCCCGCTGCTGTGATTGGCTGGACGGACACACAAGGGGGGAAAGTTTGAATAAAATACAAGAGCATGGCACGAGTGTTGTCGTTCAAGCTTGTGCGCTTGGTGAAGCAGTGCTTCAGATATACTGGATAGATTGGCACACAGATGTCTGCGCATTCTTGGGAAGTTTGAGATAAATCCAGAGAGTTCAGACTAATTTAAAGGGACTTCTTATTCAGATTGAACTGCATTCATTTGTTTCAGGGAGCGGTGACAAGTGTCGTGGTGACTTTTATACCGTGCGTAATTGTCTTTTTCAAGCTCCATCAGTCAAGATTCTGTCTTTTCCCGACTTTGCACTTGGAGGAAGGACACTGACGAAGAGGATACGATGACAGCGATCAGAATGGTTTCATCAGTGCTGCTGCTGATGCTGATGCACTCCGGGGCTCTGTGCGCGCGGAGGTTCCGGGGTGGCCGCAACCCGCAACCACGACGCTCACCACCTCCTCCTACGTACCGGGCGGATCGGGTTGACACCACCGAGAGCTTCCCTCTGGATTTCACCGCCGTAGAGGAGAATATGGATAACTTCATGACACAGGTGAAGAACCTCGCGCAGTCCCTGTACCCATGCTCGGCGCAGAAACTCGACTACGACATGAAGCTGAACTTTTTGGAGAATACATCAGTCACCTGCAACGACGGAAGCTCCGCTGGGTATGTATCCGAAAGAGAATAATGCTAATGGAAAGTTAGAAACATGTGATTGGGTAAGTGACAGGTCATAGGGTCAGCTGTGCAGCAGTGCACCCTGGAGCCAGTAGGAATTGTTATTTTGCTTCAGCAGGGCGCACCCCGTCCTGCTGGTCCTCCTGCAACTCGAACTAACCCGATACTAATGTATCTGGCCTGAGGACAACCATGCTCGTCCCAATGCAGTAGAGCCAGTAGTTCTCATTATTTGGGCTGGTTCATTGCAAAGTTTCCAAATCAGCATATATAGCATGATAAATAGTATACAAATAAATGTGGGACAATTTCGAAAGGAAGCAAAGTCCTGGGTCCTAAATAAGGTCCACTCGGGATGAGATAGACAGCTGCTTTGTGTCAGCGAAGCGTGAAATTTGCGGATAGCCACATGGCCTATGCTTCATTTCCTTTGCCTCAAATTAGAATGCAGGATTTGCTCTGCAGAAAGTTTAGCTTTAAGTTTTCAGACCCCCGCCCATCTCTCTTTGCTTGTCTGTCTCTTTCTGAGGATTGCGCAGTGTTGAATTTACAGCCTTTTAACTGCATGTTTTCTCTCTACATGGCTACTGTAAAAAGTGCCCAGTCTCCCATGACTTCAGTTCTATAGGTGTTTACAATAAAATAGTTTATGTTCTTTGGTCAGAGAGACAAACAATGGATCTCTACATTTGTTTGCAGTCCATGTTACATTGTTAAATAAAAATCCATTTGGCGGCAGCCTGCATTTATTGTCCACTGAAGAGGGATAAGCCATGGCACTAAAAGCATGTTAATATCAAACAGATCCCTTGTGTCTCATATATATGTTTAATACACACATGATGTATAAACTGGACATTTTTATTCCATTAGGCTGCACATAGTAAATTGTGTGCAGTCGGTTTTAAAACCTATTTTTAACTTTTACGGCTTCTTGGACAAATAAAAGTGATATTCAAGATATAGCAGGTAAAGATTCAAGCAAAAAGGCAGTCATGAAAGTTGTTTTTAATATTTATACATGAGTTCATATGACCTATCCAGGCTATAGGACTGTTGACTTTGCTTGTTTCAAATATGTTTTTTCTGCATAAGGATGCAATTTTAAGGACAAACTGTCCCACAATAAAAGAACATGCAACTTTATTGCTAGTAATGTAGCTGAAATGTATTATATGTATAATATTGTATTGTGTCAATGCTTTTAATGAGATATTTTGTGCCTTATATAAAGGCTAAAATGATTTTCTGCCAATGTGCATTTATCACGGACCAGCTCAGTGATGGGCAGACTTAAATGAAATGGGTTTTGCTTTACATGTCTCTGTTTAGATTTAACCTTTGTCTAATTCCTGTTAAACCCCAAAGTGGTAGAACGAGCTGTCTGCGAGCGCGGTAAAGCTCTGAGCTCTTTAGAGACGTAGCACAGGGGGACAGTTACTGGCAGATGGCCATTTCATTCACCACTGTGGCTGCTGTCAGATGCTAATCCATCAACTACAAAGAGTACTTTTAAGCGAGGTGTTGTTACAGTTTACAGATCAACAAGGATGCAAACTGTGTGATTCATCTCCTGGTGAAGCACTTGTTAGAGTTGAGTGGGTTTGATGCTGCGCTTTCCCCTCTTGGCTTGTTCACGTGCCAAACCCGGGCTCCACTTTGTTGTTTGGAAGTTGTCAGTAAATTGCTCTGGCCTAAGCCTACATCATTGACTGTGGTTTATAATAATAGCGCAAGACACAAACTGCAGCCAAAGTGTGATACAGGGACTGAAAGAAAAAAAAAAACATCTCAGAGCCTCCGCCAAGTCTGTTTTCTTGAGAGAAGAATGTTTTTGGCATTCTCTTGAGTTGAATCATTGGTAGAGTCAAGGGGATGCTGATTGATCATCACAGAAGCACATTTTGAGCATCCTGTTTATATGCATAAAACTATATTACAAACAACCTTTTTTCAATAGCCTCATCTGTCATGTATGCATCTTACATGAATGTGTTCTGCAGCATAGCAGCAGAACGCAATGCCCTCTTCTGGGCTGACGACAAACAGCATATTCTGCAGATATTTAACATTTCTTTAAAGCCCTAATTCATGGGGCATTAAAGGCAGGTTATCCTGGCTGCATCTGGGTCCAACAGCACTCAAAAGACAGATTGCATGTTGACATCCATGCAAGACAAATGTAGTGTAATTTTATCTACACATATTTGTCTTTTATCATTTCCATGGCTGGTATGTGTGATTTTATCCCTGTTTATGTGAGGACACTGCAGAGGAATGATGATCTCAGAGTGAAGAGACTATGATGGTACATATAGTACAACATTTAACATGAAGAATACTGTCTACTAGCACCTACGGTACAAAAAGGATAGGGGGCAGGTTGATCTTTATCTCTTGTTTGATCACTATATCTGTTTCCTACGTGCAAACTGTACACACAACCTCATTGTCCAATTTATGTTGGCAAGGTTTCACTTGTGCTGATCCTGTCACCTTTTCCAGATAAAAAAAAAAAAAACCCAGCAAAGTAACATGACATACTCGATAAGATTTAAATGTTGATGACGTATGTGTTTATATTTTACGCTTGGATACCATCAGTGGTGGTGGAAACAGTGGAGGTATTACTATTTTGTGTTTATCTCATCTTTCTGAAGAAACCAAGCCAAAGAATGCGGCCGTAGCTTACTGTTGCTTCTGTATGTTTTTGCAGGCTATGAAAACAAATCCACCTCATAAAGCTGCTGAGATGTATTGATTTTGGTGTATTTGCTGTCTTGCAGGTATTACCTGAAAGAATCTCGAGGCAGCAGACGGTGGTTGATATTCTTAGAAGGTCAGTATGCTGGACTAAATCAACTAATTTCTTTCATTTTTATGCACAAACTAAGATGCATGATTGTGGGGTTTTTTTAATCTAAAAAATGGCCCATGTTGTTTTTTTTTTGTCCAGGCGGCTGGTACTGCTTCAACAAAGAGAACTGTGACAGCCGATACGAGACAATGCGGAGACTGATGAGCTCATCCAAGTGGCCCCAAACGAAAACAGGTGAGCCCAGGATAGTCTGTGTAGTTCACTTTAAGCACCACTGCTACTCCACCTGTGGCGTGTACTGAAATCCTGACCCCCTAATAAGGTGAAAAAAATAACCCAGATCCCACTTTAATGTCTCAGTAATTAAAAGGATCGGATGTATCAGTGCTCATCTGCAGTGTTATTGCAACCGACACCCGGTCATAATGTAGCTGTGGTGTAGGGCTACCTGGCGCCCACTGCTTTAGGAACAGAGACGCCTCCCTCTCTCATTGCAGTGTAATAACTGTAATCCATGTGGTAATGATGATGAAGAAGAAGAGGATGTGTCTAGGAGTGCCAGCATGGCTAATGATACATGTTGATGTGTCTCTGCAGGCACGGGGATCCTGTCTCCACTGCCTGAGGAAAACCCTCACTGGTGGAATGCCAACATGGTGTAAGTTGACTCATGTTTGTGATTTTGTTGGAGCACATTTTTCTTTTTTTGGGTCATAGGCGGCAACTTTAACTTTATTTTGTCTGTGCAGATTCATCCCATACTGCTCCAGTGATGTGTGGAGTGGAGCTACAGCCAAAACAGAGCAGAGTAAGACATTTCTGAAAGATCAAAATGGCATGTTTTTCTCCTAGAAACAAGTGCTTTTTCTACAGCTTTAATCTCTTTGTGTTGTGTGCAGGTGGTTATGCCTTCATGGGCTCACTGATTATTCAGGAAGTTGTGAAAGACCTGCTGAATAAAGGTCTGGACAACGCCAAAGTTCTCCTATTAGCAGGAAGCAGGTGTGTATGAGTACGAAAGTGTTGCTTGCAGCCTTTTATAATAGGCCAGCATGATATGAGGAAAATATGCAATGTGCGTAAATTTACTTTTTACTGCAATATCTTTTTTAAGAGTGCATAGCTGTAACACAATATCTATGTCTATCTGCTGTTTTCATGTTAACACAATACATGTGTATGCTGAAAACTTGATCTGACTGCATCATAATGGTGTAAAAGCTTGACTATCATACTCAGGCTTTCATCAAATCATTAAATATACATATGCTGAGTGAGAGAGCATTGCATAAAATATTTTTTCTTGTTTTATTGTGATGATTGACACTCGATGACATTGATATTCGTTGTGCAGCCCTGATACGTTCATGTCTATTCAGGCTCTAATAAGAATATGTGACATTTCTGCATGCAGTGCCGGTGGTACTGGGGTCCTTCTGAATGTGGACCGTGTCGCAGAGCTGCTGGAGGGACTGGGGCACACTGGGATCCAGGTGCGAGGACTGTCTGATTCAGGCTGGTTCCTGGACAACAAGCAGTACCACTGCACGGACTGTGTGGACGCCGTCAGCTGTTCGCCCACAGAGACCATAAAGAGAGGCATAAAGTATGAAATCCAGGGGGAATATCAAACAATGACAACGTTTTGTGGGGAGGATACAAAAGTATTAATATAGACATTGTCCTATTTGTGCTTTTCACCTGCTCCATCAGTTACTGGGGAGGAGTGGTGCCAGAGAGGTGTAGGCAAACCCATGAAGGAGAGGAGTGGAACTGTTTCTTTGGTTACAGAGTCTTCCCGTCAATAAAAAGTGAGTTTCAGTGACTCATTTTGGAGTGAAATGCACATTCAGTACCCTGTGCAAGCCTAAAACAGCTTGGTTTGTGTTGCACATGTCTAGCTATCGACAATTCTCAACTCTCTTATTTTAATTAATCCATCTTCTATTCTCTGTGTGTAGGCCCAGTCTTTGTAGTCCAGTGGCTGTTTGATGAGGCCCAGTTAACCGTGGACAACATCCAGCTAACAGGCCAGCCAGTGCAGGAAGGCCAATGGCGCTACATCCAAAACCTGGGCATTGAGCTGAGGAACACGCTCAAAGATGTCCCGTAAGGCCTCCAGTCTGCATCTTCAGAAGAGAATTTAAGACAGATTTTTGCATGGATTGAGATTGATTTGTGTTGTTTTTTTTCAAATTCTTATTCAGGGCTATGTTTGCTCCAGCGTGCCTATCACATGAAGTTATCACCAGAAAGTGAGTATGATTTTAAGATTCAAGGATTTATTTGTCATTCCACGACATGTTTGTGCATGAGAACATAGAACAATATGTACTCAGGCCCCAGTAAAGAGCAACAATTATGCGAACAATAGATCCTGTATAAATAAAAATATCATGCACGAATAAACAAACCTAAAAAAAAAACATATCAATATGAGAGCGAAACAGGTAGCAGAATAAAAAAAAAATGGATATCAGGGATTTTGTGATATTTCATATTCCATTCAAACCTTGAATTCCATTATTTCATGAATCGAACTATTGCAATTTGAGACGTTCCACCCGTGAGCTGACAGCGCCCTCTTGTGTTGTCTTCTAGTTACTGGATTGATGTGCAAGTTAAAGGCACCTCCCTACCCCGAGCGCTGCACTGCTGGGACCGTAGCCTCCACGACAACAGGAACAACAAAGCCCCGCCCAAAGGCTGCCCCGTACATTTGATTGACAGCTGCCCCTGGCCGCACTGCAACCCCACCTGCCCCACCATTCGAGACCAGTTCACAGGACAGGAGATGAACGTCATTCAGTTCCTCATGCACATGGGCTTCGACGTGCAGAAGATGGCGCAGCAGCAGGGTATGGACCCCAGCAAGCTACTGGGCATGCTCAGCAGCGGCAGCTAATGGGACACACGTACACACAGCATCTCCAAGCTAAAGCCAAGCAGGGCTGGCTGGTCTCTATGTCCAGTCTCCTCCTGCCTGATACCTCCAACTAATACTCCATCTTCACAACCCATTCTACCTTTAGTCTAGTCAACTCTGACCTCTTGTTTACTTTAATACAAGCCTCAGTCAAACACAGGGTCTTAGATTTGTCCCACAATCCCTTTCCTCACACTTAGTGACAAGTACAGGGGCGACGCGCCGCCATGACAAGGCACAACTCTCGGCTACTCTGTTGATGTTATCTTTTGCTTTGTAAAAGGAAATAATATCACGAATGTAATCCAGTTTTAAGGATGCTCATTGATGTTTTTTTTTTTTTTTTAAATATATTTTTTCATCCTTTCATAGATTTTATTAAGTCATTGTTTTAAGAAAGAATAGGCTACAATGATTTACAGATTCTGTTTTATTAAGTTTAGTCACAGCAGAGTAAAGAAGGGTATATTTTGTTCAAATTGTTTTGTGGTTGGGTTCTTATAACATCTCATCAAACATACATCGAGGCCTAAATATGGGCGTTATAATGTAAGAAAAGCACAGGATCAAGAAGAACATTTTGTATTGGTCACCAAAACAATGTCATAAACTTTAGGGATATGCATCTGATACTAAAGCTATGGTAGCCGAAAATGGTCACACTTGTTATTATATAATTAATGATGGCTCTCAGCGATCTTTAAATAATTTGATAATTAACTTGATACAAGTGAAATAAATTGGTTTCCTTTTTCTTACTTACATAACTAAAGAGTTGAGGAATGCCATGCCATCAGAGTTTACTTCAGTCAAGGTCGCAGACAAAAATGGCATCCTGTCTTTCAGTCAGAGAAAATGTTTGTACCTGTCGCTGTTCTTTAAAGACACAAGCGATAGTCATGCAAAGCCCCTTTCAGACAGGCGCTCCAGATAATTTACCATAACATTTTAGGAACAGCCTGCCGCTGACATTTTCCAGACTTCCTCTTTCACACATGTCCCTGTGACTTCAAAAGGATGCTGTGGAAGAGAATGTTTACAACGTCTCCAAGCAACAGAGTCATAACCATGATGACAGTTTTTGTCTAAATATTAATGCTATGTCTTACTGGTCATATCCACAGTGTCAGCAAATATGTGGAAAAAAAAAACAAGCTGGCGTGCAGAAAATAGTATGAAGCAGCCTCATTACGTGCACAAGAAACCCCACTGGTTTTGTTCTGGTTGCATGATTTAAACATCATCAACCGGCCCACTCTGACGTCTTGCGGAAATATTACTATAGTGGGCTAACAGAAAAAAAAATCTGCAAAAAAGTCGAGATGGAAATGTTGTCAGTTTGCATTCAGACATGCAGCTCAAACGGAAAATGTCAGGACATATTTAGAGGGTGCTGCATGTGTGAAAGGAGCTAAGGCGATATAGGGCTGAAATCAAGTGTAATAAAAGGAGCTAGACACTACTTAACTATTCCATAATCACAAACGTTTTCTTTCATTATGACAAATCTTAAATTATCTGTATAAAACAAGCTCTGTTGTCTTGAGAGACAAGATCATTCATTTTTGAAACTTGAGATAGCAGCCTTAGAAAAAATGCAAACCTGGCTTTTCTCGGCTTTCAAACAATGCTTCACTAGTGCACTCATGGTATAATGCCATGTTGGATTAGCACAGTCTTTTTACATATTTAGGCTACTGAAATGAAAGCTCTCTTTCTCCCCCATGTAAATAATAGTTGTCAAACGCAACAAAAGCATGTGCTTAGTAAATTAATCTCTGTATAACTTCATCATTGTCAACATTAGATTGAAGTCATACTTTCAGTTTTGACAGCTGCATGTGATGATGTCATCGCCAAGATCACATTTAATTGATTGTGGGCCTGTTACCTTTGCATACACCACAGTGCCATTACATCTAGTCTATACCTCTTTTTTTTTTAAACGGCCCGATCACAAACAGACGACTGTTCAAGCCCGATCACAGGGTACTTTGTCACGCTCGAACACCTCAGCAGTTCAGCAATCCTCGGATCAATGCAATGAACATTTAAAGGGAGACAAATATCGTGTATTGTATATTTTTTTTGAGTATTTGTATAGGTTCTTTAAAGTGTTCACTATTGTAACTCCCTTCTTATATTTCATAATAGAGATCACTTTTTAATATAATGACAATGTTGTATGTAATGATGTCTTTATAAAAGATGTTTTTTTAAAGGACCTCTATTGGGCATCACTCCAGAGAAAGAAAGGTATTACTAATTGTAATTTTATTCTGTAACATATTTTTTAACAGATAAAGACAAACTCAAGCTACATTGGTAATTTACATATTTATTTTGTTATGTAAATCATATTTATAAGTGCTCTTTTCACAGAGAAGTGATTCTTTGTAAATTGTAAATACATTGCTGTTTCATCTTTTGTGTTGATTGCATGTCTTTGTATCAGACGTAAAAGAAAAGACACATTACATATTTTAAAAGCTCATTATTGCTGCGTTGTTATTTTTTATCTCTATTATCATCATTATTTGTGTTGGTATTATTTGCACACTTTTCCTTCCTATTTTGCACTCACAGCATAAAAAGCAGGAGGTAAGGTCAACTTCTCCCTCAGGCTTCAAACCCTTCTGTCACTATTTGACACTTCTGATAATAGATATACGGCTACGCATACACACACACACACACACACACACACACACACACACACACACACACACACACACACACACACACACACACGCATACACACACACACACGCATACACACACACACTGACACCTTTTATTTTAGAAGCTTTTTCTTCAAACAAAATAGAACATCATTACTCTCCTAAATAAAGGAAACAGATTTTAGAATTGCAATATGTTCGTTTTTTGTTTTTTTTTCAATTAGAAATCACTGAAAACAATATAAGAAACAGTTTGGATGCACTAGAAGGTTTGCTTTCTGGGGCCAAGCCGCATGGGAGCCCCATGGACGTCAGCAAAAGCATGGTCAATCCTAAATTCAAGCAATGATGAAAACATTTTCTTTTTAACCCGAACAGTTACCATTACTTGCAACAAAATGCAACAAAATTATATGTTTTGTATTATTGCTTCAGTAAAATGTAGCCTGTATTCTTAAAATGATGTGACTTTTTTAATTTGTACCGTACATCTTGGGCAGACCTAGGGACCTTAACCGTCGCTGATGTCTGTGTAGTCATGCCCGCAACCTGCACGAAAGTCAGGATGACAGAAAAGAAAGGAGAAGACAAGGAGGGAGGCTGGTTATGACGTATTTAACCCCAACAAACATTTTTCAGCTTCAAAATCTGATCTGATCCAGGTCAATGAGGTGAATGCTCATAGTACAGTATGAGAGAGCCCTCTGCTGCATCACAAGGCTAATTACTTCAAGTAGACTGTTGTGCTTTGAGACTAAAGTCTGAACAGGACATTGCACTCCAAATACAAACTTTGTCCCTATAGAACAAATAATGTGTTTAAAAGTTAACTTCAGCTTTATCTACAGCAACCCAATTATTGGGATTAAAGTAAGTAATAGAATTAAGAGTGATTTCATATATTTCAACAACAAGAAAGTAATGTGTTACGTGTGATATAAATATTAAATCGCTGGTGCAAAAATATTGATATATTAATAAAGAAAACAAGACTCTGAACAGATTTCCAAGGCATTTTAATTCACTGTGTCACTACCTTTTGACTCCCTTTGGCGCTTCATGCAGGCAACTTGAAGAAAAGTGAATTGGCCAGAGAAGATGTGGCCTTATACATATATATTAACCCTGCAGTTCACCCATTTAGGGGCACTTTGTATGCCTCAATTAAACAGATTGTGATGTATCATATCATTGTCTTATAATAATTATTGCGTAATCGTGAACTCATCATTGTGGGCCATGTATTGTGTTGGCTTTATTTCGTATCATGAGCTGCCATGCGATCCCCACCCCTATGTATTGGTTTAAAGCATTTTATTTAAGTCCACAATTTGATCCCACAACAACTTCAAAAGCTGTAACAGGTGGTGGTTTTCTCTGAGAATCACCACATACACTGTAAATCTACAATCAAAGCATCATTATATCACAGGTTAAGGTATTTTAAGTCTCTACTAATCTGTTTCCACTTCCCTCACACATCCATCGTTCAAATCTGTCATCACTGGTGCATAATCATCCCTCTGGACCTGTATGTAATTTTTGTCTCTAATGGGAGTCTTAGCCTCTCTCTCCCTGTCATTATGCTGAGTATAAATGCCAGTTTCTCACTGAGGGAGCTCTGACTCAGCCTCTCTGGGTGCTCCCTAGAAATACGACTCCCATACTGGCCGCCACATGTAGCCTCCCACCCCTCTGTGGAATATAGACCCCCTATTTTTAGAGCTGGCAGGGCCTGTAACCCTGGGCTCGGCAACAAACTTTCGTTTAAACAACCACCCTTAGCAATCCACTGAGTGCATATACACACTGACACACACACACAGGACAGGAGCTGGGCAAAAGGCGACTGAGACGACGAGACAAAGAGCATGAGACAGAGCCAGCGGTGTGAAGGATTCTAATGGGACGTTTTTGGGGCCTAACGCAACGGAATTATAAGGATACAAGTTATGGATGTTGATTGACAGGACGAGGAACTTGTCCACCTGTTCTGCACTGAGGGCAAATGTCTGAGTATGACTTTTAGAGGACTTTACTTTTATTTCAGGCACTGGACAACTTGGTGATTAAAGAAAACAATCCAGGATTTCTGAGGACATTCACTACAGCTCTGAGTAAGACCAGGATCAAATTCATAACTCTTGAAAACATAAAAAAGAAGGACTGATACCAGTGTTATATACTTTATAGAAAATGTTCAAGGTTTAGAGCCAGAGGTCTTACTAAATACCCTTGACTATTAAGCTCTTTTTAAAGAAACGCCTGCCTAACAGTGTATAAATGTAACTCTGTTGCACCACTGTAATTACAAGGCAAGCTGAAGGAAGGACTACAGACATTTGTAATTAAGGATCTTCTGTGAAAAGCAACCAAGAGGGTGAGGTCTGTGACTAAAGACAAGAGTGGACCCCTAGAATACCAGGACCGAAAGCAAGACATCAAAAACTGCGACAAGGAAAACCAGCTGCCCTCATAGAACAACACAAACCATGGATTCTCATGGCGGACACTACCTCAACAAAGACGCTGTGTTGTCACCTTTAGGGGCAGCTCGAATGTGCCAGCTGCTTCTTGGCTGCACCATAATGGCCCTGGTGTCCCACAGTGCGGGCTACAGCGCCAACTATGGAATCTTCTGCATGTTTGTGTGGTGCTTCTGCTTTGCCGTCACACTGGTTGTGTTCACCTTGGATATTACTCGGCTTCACACGTGCATGCCTATCTCCTGGGATAACTTCACCGTGGCCTTTGCCATGCTGGCAACCCTCATGTATATCACAGCCTCCGTGGTCTACCCTGTTTACTTCCTCCAATCAGAGTGCCCAGATGAGGGCTGTGAAGTCCAAATGTACCGCATTGCAGTCACTGTCTGCTCCAGTGTTTGCTGCTTCCCATACGGCGCTGAAGTGTTCTTAACTCGAGCCAAACCAGGGGCTGTGGTGGGCTACATGGCCACTGTGTCTGGTCTACTCAAGGTGGTCCAGGGTTTTGTGGCCTGCATTATTTTCGGAGCTCTGGCCAATGACAGCGAGTACACTGTCCACATTGCTTCTCAGTACTGTGTGGTGGTGTACAGCCTGTGTTTCTCCATCACTGTCATAGTGGTGATACTGACAGTTTCTGGGAGGACCTCATCACTGCGGTTCCCCTTCGACCGGTTTGTGGTTGTCTACACCTTTTTTGCTGTGATCCTCTACCTCAGCACAGCACTGATCTGGCCCATCTTCAGCTTCGACAAGAAGTACGGCAACACGACTCGCCCTGAGGACTGCCCACGTGGGGAATGTTCCTGGGATAGCAAGCTGGTGGTGGCAGTGTTCACCAATGTCAACCTGATTCTCTATTTTGTTGATCTTGTTTACTCCCAGAGGATTCGCTTTGTCTCCAGCTCTGCTGTCTGAAAAAACCCTTCAGAATGAAAACCCTCACAGACAAATAAAGAAAGTTGAAGGCCCACATTGACCATGCTCTCCATGGTAAAGTCTCTCTGTAAACGACTCATGGTGTGGTATGCATGTGTGCCTTTTTTCCTTTTCAGTGACTATTCCAAATTGGGTCTGTAGGCAGTATTACCCCATGCTACAATCTCAGGGGCCTTTCTCCAGTTCTGCAGTGACCTACCAGGGAGAGCCTGCCAGGTGCACTGTTGATGAGCTGACCTAAGCAACTTTCTTCACAGAGTATCCTGGAAATGTCCATCTGAGCACCAAATGCATCCCTCTGCACCAAATTCCTCTGCTGGTCACACACAGGACAGAGCTATTATTGGATAATGTGGAGAATATAAGAAGTTTTATGTCAGTCAGACTAACACAGGCTTTATTAAATCATTGATGTATTATGTATTTAAACACTAAAGTGGTTGAAAATGTAACTCGTAGAGATGCAAAGCTTATGCTAAGTCTGCAGTGTGCACTGAACATAGCTTCAGGGTTTGAAGGTCTAGCCATTTTGCTGTATTTTTACTTTCCATTTTGTATTCTTGTCTTCACTCGTGTTAGGCCTTAAGTTCAACTTTAAAAGACTTTTCCCGCCATTCAGTGAATGTCAAATGTATCTGATACATTAATTTTGAAGGAAACACTTTGCCAACAGTATTAGACTGATTATTTTGGATGAGCACATCATGTAGTGATCTATTTTTGGCAATAATTCTGATGTATTCAATGTTTAATAAAACGTCAAGAATTCACGTTTTTTATATTTTATTACTGTGTCCTTCGCTCTTGAGTAATGTAAATGTAGCTTTACTCTGAACTTTCACTGAACATTAAACTAATTTAATACAGAGTGCAATCAGAAGTCTCATTGTGTATTGGTAAGGACTAAAAGCTCCTGAGAGGAGCTTTGGTTGGTGCTGATTTCGGCGTCCCCTGTGGATAAATATTTACTTTAAATCTCTATGTTGATTTTGTTCTGAACAGGAGAAGGTTGTTTTAAAATTATATAAATATTTTTTTTTCTTACAGCCATAGTTAAATTATGTCAATCATTTCCCATTAATATTAAATTGGAAAAACTTCTAGTAACCATTAGTCATTAGGGAGCAAACGAGGAATGAATCACAGTTCATCGCTTAATCGTTGACTTATGGTTGACTAGTAGCCTTTATAAATCCTCCTTTGTTCCTTATTTGATTCCTTGTAATACCAACTGTTCCTGACTTGACTACTGCTTTCTAGTCTTCTGACTGCTCAAAAATGCTTTTACAATGCATGTCACATTCACCCATTCACACCACATTTGCACACTGATTGAAGAGGATTCTATGTAATTTGTCCATCAGTATTAACTAATCCCATTCACAGACATTCACATGCTGCTGGCATAGAGGCAGGAGCAATTTGGGGTTCAGTGACTTGCCCAAGGACACTTCTAAATGTGACTGCAGGAGTTAAAGATTTAACTCATGACCTTCCGGTTGAGAGATCAGTCAGTTATTTGCTGATTACTTCCTCATTGTTTCCAAGGTACAATTCAATTTTTTATATAAACTGTTAAGGGGGGGGGGGGGCTACTAGGTAATGGGAAATAGCCTACTTAAATACTCATCATATAGCCTATTAGGCCTATGTTTGGGATTTAAAATAAAAGATAGACAGATGTGAAATAAACTGGTTTTTGCTGATTGCTGAACTTGGTTAAGATATCAAATGTGTTACACGCTTTCGACTGTAAACTGGGCTTCATTTGTTGCTTTCTGGGTCAGAATAAGAGTCTGTCTCCTTTTCCGAAAAATGGTCTGCAGCATGCCTTTCAAGCTTTTCGCCACTAGATGATAGTAAAGTTCAAGCAGCAAACTTTTCTGCCCTCCGGCACAGACTGATGCAACTGGTATTTCGTCCTTACAAAACCCGCCCTAAAGTATTTTAATCATAATGCCGTGATAGGTCAAACGTTTTACCAGTCGACTAAATACGCATGCTCATTGGTCTGTCCGCTTGTCAGTCAATTGTTTCTACCCAGGTATGGGCGCGAGACAACTGAGCCACGTTGACTTCGCTGTATTTTGGGGGTTCAGAGGAACTGTTGCTGTAGTCTATCGGTCTTTTGGTCGGCGCACTACGGAACTCATCAGTTTATTAGTAAGTTTTAAATATGATTATTGCACAATAACATGGCTGCTGTCGCCACGTGTAAGCCTACATAAATGTCGTTTTCTTCGCTTTATAAGGAAGTGAGTTTGTTTACTTAAACTGTAGAACACACTATGAGCTGCTACACCTCTTCTGAGACGTTATGTTCGACTTTTTTTTTGATTTGCAGACATAAGATTGAATGACCTGTTAAGGTAAATGTTTCTAATTCACAGGTATAATGAGCGTGGGTTTCATAGGAGCGGGTCAGCTGGCCCACGCTCTTGTAAGGGGCTTCACAGCAGCAGGTGAGTTCTGAATCTACTGTAGTACCTTGTATGTATATTGGCCTATTATTCAGATTTGATGTATGTTGTTCATGTGAGATGATTGCAATCAGACACTGAATTTATTTCTGGATTATTCCCCTCCTTATAGGCGTGATTGCCACCCACAGAATCACAGCCAGTTCCCCGGACACAGACCTCCCTACGGTCCAGGGGCTGCGGGTGGGTATACAATTAGGGATGGTTAGGCCTATCAACTTGTCTGCTTTAATCTGCATGCCGTTTTGTGTGTGCATTATCAAAGTAGCTTATAAAACGTTGCCTTTCTTGCAGGTAATGTATTCCCACAGATTGCATACTTATATCCAGTACAATGTCACTATTACAGAAATTGGGGGTCAATTTCACCACCAGCAACAAAGAGACGGTCAGCAAAAGCGATGTCCTCTTCTTAGCTGTGAAGCCAAACATCATTCCCTTTGTACTGGATGAGATTGGACCAGACATTGAAGATCGTCACCTTATTGTGTCATGCGCTGCAGGAGTCACCATCAGCTCGATAGAGAAGGCAAGTTAGAACCCTTTGTGAGTGACTGCTCAGAGACATTCACATCCAACACTGTCTGATTATGCAGTCTTTGGTAAGACAGTTTTCATCAGTGGGTGTCATGTTTTTGACCTATAGGGATAAATGAAGGTGATGTTGAAGATTTAAGAATATTCTTGAGTTTGAATACTATTGTTGGATCTATTCTTGAATTGAAAAAGGCTATTAAAAAAACCTGATAAAAATTACCAAGAAACAGGAGAACCAAAGATATAAGATAAAAAATAGTATGGAAAGGAATCAAATATTGGACATGTATCAAAATATCAGAAAAATAAATAAATAAAATATACTTTATCATATAGATAATCTATAGTAGAAGCAGAGATGCATAAGTGATACATTTAAATAATGGACATATAATAAGTGTACAGTTTGTTTCAATCAGGGACCATCAGCATTGGGATTTTGTGGATACACTTGTATTTTTAAAGACATATATTTGCTGCCACCTAATTGCAGAGTTCATTAAGGCTCTTTTGTCTTAAAATAAACCTATTGTTATTATTTCGGGCATATGCAGACATTAATGCATCTGACAAAAGACAAAAGTTGGGTTGTAGAACCGTTGTTTGTTTTATAATTTGCCTCATATTTCTGATCTTTAAAATCATTTTGATATTTAGTTTTATCTGACATTTTCTTCTACTGACCATAAATTATGTTCTCTGAAACATCTCCGGTCTTGTTTACGGTTAGTGTCTAAAATTCAATCTTCCCTTTTTTTTCTTCTTTTTTTTTTTTTTTTTACAATAAGGTCTGACTGTATATCTGAGCTTTGATCTTGGCAGACCCTGAGGCAGAATACTCACATGTTGTTACATGACATGGAACGGTTATCTGCATGGACTTGAAACGTTATACATTTTCATTTAAAATAGGCTAACATGTTTTTTTGTGTGTTTTTAAGGCAGATTTGAGTAAATAAAGCTCAACTAGTCTATCACCTTTCTTAACTAAGAATCATATCAGTTTGAGGACAGTGAAAAAGAAACGATGAAAACCATCTTTCACTTTTTGTTCCTAGAATTTAAGGAAATGCAATCAGCACATTGTTATTCTTTACAGAAGCTGTATCAGTATCGCCCTGATCCGAAGGTGATGCGCTGCATGACCAACACTCCAGTGGTGGTGCGTGAGGGGGGCCACTGTGTACGCCACAGGCACTCATGCACTGGTGGAGGATGGGAGGCTACTGGAGCAGCTGATGGCCAGTGTGGGATACTGCACTGAGGTGGAAGAGGACCTGATTGACGCTGTAACGGGCCTCAGTGGCAGCGGCCCTGCTTACGTAGGTCATGGATATACAAGAGAGTGTGTTTTATAATGAAAATAAGAAATAAGTCATTTTTAACTTTACACACATTGTAACAACAATGATCCTAAAAGCTATTCTTGTGGCCTCCTAGGCGTTCACAGCTGTGGATGCTCTTGCTGACGGTGGAGTAAAAATGGGCCTGCCTAGAAGATTAGCTGTACGCCTCGGAGCCCAAGCATTACTGGTACTACATGTTTTTTAATCTTTATACATCACATGTGCTTTCTTGGGTGTTTTTCTATATATGTTTTATTGGCTTGGGAAAAAATAACAATAAGTTGTCATCTGGACTCATGTGACACAATTCTTGATTCACTGGTGCTGAATATTTATATTTTATTTCAATAAAAAATATGGTTCATTTAACAGATTAGCCCTGCGAATATGACCTATGGTGTGACAACTTAATTATCATAAATCATTTTTTAAATAACAATAAGAGAGTATTGACTTAAACTTGCAAATCTGAATTCTAAGAAAGAAGATCTTCTTCAGGTGACAATAAAAATGAACCCCTGAAGAAGACCTTTGGTGGTTGTGATAGAATAAAAACTTTTTGTGGCATTTGAGCAAGTGTGCGGGCATATCTTCTTCCACATGCTGCTGTTTTTGCACTGCCATGCACCTACATGATTTGTGTACAAATACTCTCTTTTTCTCATTTTAATACTTAAGCAAACAGTTAAATAAGCTCTCTCCTAAATTAAAATAAGATTTTGCCAAGTCTCATCTGCAACAGTGATGTGTTAGTCTAATGTGGACCTTTCTTTGTGTCCCTTTTTAACAGGGGGCTGCTCGAATGCTGTTAGACTCAGATCAACACCCTGGGCAGCTCAAGGACAATGTGTGTTCACCAGGAGGCGCCACCATCCACGCCCTGCACGTCATGGAGAGCGGCGGCTTCCGCAGCCTCCTGATCAATGCTGTAGAGACGTCCTGTGTGAGGACGAGGTAGGTTGATCAGAAAAGTGTGTGACAAACAAACCAACAAATCATATTTTATGTCAGAGGGATACACAACAAATGCTTTTAAGTTAATGGTCATATTGAAATGACCACACAGTGATATATTTCTTTTGAAGTATATCATTCAGACAGTAGATGGAGCTGAATGCAAGAGAGAATTGTTCTCTGCTGCTGATGACACAGTCTTAGGAGTACTATTAGGCTATTGTTTTTGTCTGATATGTTTATTTATTTATATATTTTAAATGTCCCTTTGTTTCTTCCCTTCATCAAAAAGAGAACTTCAGTTTTTGGCCGACCAAGAGAAAATCTCCTCTGCCGCCATAAAGAAGACAACTCTGGACAAAGTGTTGCAGCAGCCAGGAGTGACTGCAGAAACTGTTAATGTCAGATCTGGTGGGATCAGTATGTTCAACAGCAGTAACCCCAAGATCAAGAAGAAGTGATTGGTTTTTTTGGGTCACATTTGAAAACAATGTTTATATGATGATACCTTTACATCGGTGACATCATCAGATGCAGTATAAGCTATAAACAACTACTGGCAAGTGATTGTTGAAGGCTAACCTAGAGGGTTACTTTCTTGAACTAAATGAACACATACATTTGAGATAAAGGTGTGAAATATATAAGAGATATTTTAATGTAAGGGAATGCCTTTTCTTTATAAGAGTTAAAAGTTTTATATTTTGAATTGGTGCTCTCCCCACTTAAGGTTTGATTTCTGTGCTGTCGCACCACTTTCAGGATAAGTAAGTGGACAAAAAAAATACTTCTACTATTGAATGTGAAAGACTACTTTAAAAAAAACGTATTTAAATCAGTTCTTTGGGACGGTGGTGATGGATGAAAATGTTGGGCTTACTACATAACTGCAATTCAGTGGTATGCGATGATGCAGAAAAGCACCAACCAGGGATTTTCTGGAAGATGTTTAATTGATCAACTTGTGTTTATGCAGTGTGATCATTTTCTAACACCTTTTTTTTTTTTTTTTTTTTTTTTTTTACAAACGCTGTATTTTACAACGCAATGAAACTGTGAGTCTGTTTTGTTTTTATTAAATATAAACAACACATTTTGTATTTTTATGATACTGCAAATGCAAGTACCGTATTAGTTACTTTACTGTAAACATAGCTGAAACATTTCTAGATAAAGGATGTTTTTTTTATTGTGAGGAAAGAAGAGCCCTCATGAATGAAGGCACGTGACCAAACATGATGACGTCTGGCTTCGATACAAGAGAAAGGAATCAACAAGGAGAGCACGAGCTGGCATTTGGAAGCGCTCTCGCTTCTGTCAGTGAAACACAAATTTTACTGCCTCTAGTGTTTGGGCTCCGCCGTGACGGAATAAGAAGAGGACACTGACGGCAGTAACTTCATTTTTAAGTCAGGTGGGTCTGTAAACCAAGCGGAGTCGGTGGTGTTGTTATGCTGAGTGTGCATGCCTTCGCCTCGCCGCTGACAAGCTGGTCTCGGTTAGCTTCATGGGCTAGCATACCTAGCTTCTGACATCTAAACTCGTCAAGCTGGCTGTATTCGAACGAGAATCACTTTTCAAAATAAGAGTTTCCGCCGTTTGCAATCGCAGCAATTTAACTGTTCTCGAAGACAGCGGCTTTTACTGTGAAATTTTTGACAGGAAGTTCTTGTGTAGCTGCTGGGGAATCGACAACAGTCGAGTTCCTACTATGCTGAGATGGCAGCTAATCTTTTGTACACACTCATGAGCTGCGAATAAAACGTGTCACTCCAGTTTGGGTTTTCACGAAGCGTGGCAGCCAGCCGTTTCGCGCGCAAAAGGTGATTTCCCACGATGAGGAATCGCTCCTGGTGTTGTAATGCTTCAGTTATAGTATGAAGGCTGTGCACGGGGATTTCCTCGCTTGCTTGTTTTGTAGGCGGGGAGTTGTTTGCGACTTTCACGAGCAGTGCGTGGAGAGACAGGAGACCCGGAGAGTCTCGGAATGTCAAACACTGTGTAACTAAGGTTGTCTTTATGATCGTCACTTTGCAAAGACATCGCCTGTCCTCTGTAACACAGCGCTTCTTCTCGCTGCTTTGTCAACTCATGAGCTTTTTGCTGTTCAAACCTGCTGCTTCATCACCCCGTTGTGAAGAGGAGCGAGCCGAGACAGCGGTTTAGCGAGATCAGGTTGGATTTCCAGTATTTTCTCATGGCATTTCTGTCAAATATGAATGCAATTGTTTGTAAATCTGAGAAGTGTGCTGTTGTTTTCATTTGGCTTTGAATGCATGCATGGATTTAACCTTTTAGTAAACGTTTCCAAACCACGGTTTCGTGTTGAATTGGTTCACCTGAAGTGACAATTCATTTAACCACTGGTTACATTGTAACAATGGCAGTGCCAGAGCCACCGTCCTGGGCTTTGATTTCACATCCAGGCAGTTAACCACTGGATTTAAACAAAATAATCAAAGCAAACAAACATGCAGCAGCTGTATTATTTTTTTAATCGCGCTGAATCATCACAATGATGTATTAAGACGTTCTCAGAATCCACCCCGAAATATGGCACCACCGGACAAAGGTCTGCTCGCTGGATAAGGGTCGATGTTTATCAGCCAGCCGCAGTTATTACTGAAGAGGTGGATCGAAATGGTGCTGATCTGTCGTGCAAGTCAGGCATCAAGCTATGAGCATCAAGTGATGACCATCATGTATATATCAATAGCCTCATCAACATTCAGCTGAGAATGTGCATTTTATTGCAGTGCTGTCATGATGTACATCAACAAACAGGCTGTGAGTACATTTAGACTAAGTGCTTAAGTGTCAACTGCCATGTCAGATCCATTTAAAAAATGCATGATAAGCAATATATTATGCCTGTGTTGTTATAATGGAGTCTTACAATGAGTGGCTGTTTAAATTGGGTCATGTGTAATTATGGGATGAATAGAAGTTGAAAACAACATCTTATTTAGATGCTATGAAATGGAAATATGGTGTAGGAAAAAAAAGTAATTTGATGTGTAGAGTGTACTACCTACTTTTATTTTTGTCACTGGATGCTATGCCTGATACTATCTACAAGGCAACAGGCTTGCTTACCCGGTAGAACATGTAATTTCTTTTATTTTGGGCTGGCAGATGCTCCTGTTCCCTGTGTGTGACATGATGAAATTTGCTGCCTATTAGAGTGCTCGCTTATGGAGGGCAGGTAATGAATTATCCATGGAGAATCTCTGTGCAATTTGAAAAGTCACCTTGGAAACTGTTGAGCTTATATTGGTGGGGCTAAACAGATAGAAGTTGCCCATTCTTGCTCAGATATCCAACTTATTTCATCATCTCTGTTCATGCGAGCAGGGCATTGAAGTGTGTTTAGCAGACAGGCCAGCCCCACATCAGAAGCTCGGCTTTGCAATAAAGCGTAATGCCCATCTCTGCCTTTCTCTGCAGGTAACCAGAACAGATGAGGGCCCATATAAAAGCCCGATGGGGCTGGCAATGGTGTGTGGATGGAGACAGGGAGTGGTGGAGCTCAGCTCTGAGATTTATCGCCTCCTGCATTGAGGTAGCGATGATAAAATAAGGCCGGATACCATAGAGGTGAACCGAGTGCACAACTCATACCCAGTGGCGTTGCTCAGAATGGGCAGGCGGTGGAGGGTAGAAGAGGATATATGAGGTTGATGAAACAGGAGGCAAGACTTTTCACAGCATCGACTACAGTCTGGCCACCAACACCTCTGCTTGGCCAACACAGCTGTGCCTTGGGAGTAGTTACGCCTATTCAGGACAATTAATAGCCTCAAGAAATGAACACAAATGTGGGATTTGTCCACAAAAGTGCTGCTTAAGCTGCACGGGGAAATGGGAATGCCTGCAAGGAAGGGAGAAAAAGATCAATATAGTTTTTTTTTTACCCTTTTTGCAATGGGGAGGGAATGTTGGTGATGAAACCTCTTGCAAGTGTAGTGCGGATTATGATTGCTTAGCATTGCGATATGCCCGCTCCACTTCTCAAAGTAATACTTTCATCCAGCAGACAGGGTAGCAAGTGTGTTTGATGAATTTCTGTTAGGAACTCGAGCTACACTTGGCATGTTCATTACTGCTCTCTGTGTGTTCATAATTTAGATTAGCCAATATCCAAACGAACATGGAGAGCATAAGCGGAGAGCTGTGCACTTGCTGCTGTTTTTCATGTAACCTACTTTTATCTTGGCTGATTAATGTTTGAGACACATCAGCGGTAAACTGACGTGAAAAAAAACAAGTGTTTAACTGTGTATACATATTTGCACAAGTCAAAATGAAAGCAGTGACTGACATAGGGAAGACGTTGTTAGATTTGGTTTATTGTTGTGAGATTTATAAGACGAAAAAAAAGGCTGTTTTGATTTTTTTCTGGGCTGGATATGTAAATGTTTATTTTCTAAGAAGGGTAAATATTTTGAGACCTTGTTCTAAAGTGATCAGTGAAACCCACATTGAGCTCAGGCAGAGCTTGAAGCTGACAACATTACTGCCTGTAGAAGTACCTGCTACTAACATTAATGGATTCTGTGTAAACAACGAGCGGTTCCCCAATTAAAAACCTATATTCACACTGTAGCCGATACATTTATGCAACACCTGCACAAGTCAAATCTTTTATCACTTAAAGGATATAATGCATAATGTTCTTTCCGGCACCGTAAATAATGTAGTCCTGAAAAATGTGGAACTCCTTAATTACAAAAACAAAGTGACTTAAATAAAACCAATAAATGCCGCCCAAATCCCTTAGACTGAATCCAACCTGGGTTACTCATTAGCCGAAGAGTGGACAGGTTGGGGTTCATTCTCTTAGACATTTAATTCCAGATCAACTGTGAGGGAACAAACAGGCCTCGGTAACACACTTGATATCTTACAATATGTAAAAGAAAATGTTTTAAAGTTGTTCCATGGTAAGCTTTAATTCAGGAGAAAAAGATGTAAGGTACAGAGAGGAGATAACAATGAACAGAAGAAGTTCAACATATTGAATGTATTATTATTAGTTTGGACTGTTTTCTTTAGAGACATAAATAATATCTAATTCGGATATTTTTGGGGACGATGAGTGTAAGGCTCCATTAAATATCCTGTAGGCAGACATCATCAATCACTTGCCATAATTTGAGCTGAGCGGTGGCAGTGTTATTAATAGAAATTAGCATCTTTGGTACTTTCAGGTAATAAGTCTTGACTGCTAACTGCCTGCATTCAAATCAAAACACTCCACAGGAGAAACAAGATGATGAATTTGTTTTCTCTCTCGTCTTTATTCAGTGAAGCTGCTGCTGCTGAGCTGTGCTTGTTTGATGGCCTTGCACAGAGTCGTGTTTCAGTTGAAGAGAATCCACCTCAAATCATAACAGTGCAGGGGCAACAATCAAAGATGTAATTAATTCAGATGTTTTTCACTTTAAATAGCACTAGAATGTGTCGAACGGCTTTAGTTTAGCCTTTTGTGCTGCAAAGGCTGTGTCGGAGTTGTTAGGTCAATGCAATATGCATTTAATATGTATGCAGGCGCTGTAGTAAAGCTCCTGGATATTTTGCCAGTGTGTGGGTTGCCTGCAACCCTTACTTCCTCTGCCAGTGCAAGGCTGAAGTATCAAGAGCTATTCTCTTCCTGTTTAATCAAGTCCTCCAGGCAGATACTGTGGAAGGCCAACCAAGTCTCTTCTCCTGTCCTACTGCTTTCACCAACAGAGCATCTCTTAGTGTAAACAGCAGCTAACTGAGCTCGGGAATAGATTCTGCATGTATCGAAACATTGGTTAATGCAAACCAGTCTAACCCAGGTCCCTTTAAATAAGCTTCACATTTTCAGTGACTTCAGAATATACAAAATCCCTTGAGGGTGGTGATTCATGTTTTTACTTTAAACCACATGAACTGGATGCAAATTCTCGACATAAATGTGCCACATGCTCTTCTGCAATCATATAACGGACTCAGTTCCATATGGGGCTTTTTCAGAGCCAGTGTTTTTCATAGAACATTATGTTATGCTCTATTTTCAACTCTGTAGATATGACTATGATGATCCAAAGTAATGTAATGTACATATTTTTCTCTGTTTTATCACAGACTAAAACTAATAGTGTCAAATTAACAAACATCTTGCAACTCTTAAAAATGCCTAAAAAGGACTGGATGTATATTATAGATTATGTTGAATTATGTATTCATACAATCCCAAACCTGTCCAACAAAGTCCTAACCTAGAAGAAACCTAAATATTTTTCTTAAGTAAGGGTGCATTTCATTCATTCACCTGTGTTCAGAGGTAACAGGGAAACACCGATGACACGTCAGAGAGTGAGAATGGAAGAAGCTTACTTTATTAGAATGTAATGGATTCATGTGAATATACTTGGCTTAACAGAAAATACCGTATATGGAAATTCAACATATGACATTGTGATTGTGTGTAAACAAGATTTCTGCCTAAATCACATCAGATAGTTTTGATTGAAAACAGTAAATACAACAACTCCCATGATACCTTGCTACTACCTCACGTCCTCTAACGAATGCCATTTTTTTATTTTGATTGAAAGACCCCAGGGATAGTGTTCTTTGTCTTCAATCAAACCCGAATCTAAGACTGTTTTCATGTTGAAAATAAAGATAAGTCTAATTTGACTTTTGGAGTGATTAAGCATTCAAGCAATTACTTGCTTACAGTATTGTTTGTTTACTTATTTACAATAACTTCTCTAAATATGGCGTCTGAATAAAAAGGCTTACATGACTCAAACATTCATTTTTGATTTTATTTTTATGTTACAGTGGACTGAACATTTTTTCTGATCCCAGCTCAGAATGCAGTGCTTTGTCAACATTCAGCATGTTGGTCCACTAAAGTTTAATGGCTGATAAATAAGCCAAGATTGAAATACTTTTTTTAGTTTTCAAGTCTTTCATTCATTGAATCCTTTTTAATCCTTTTTTAAGAGCACTTATGAATCAAGCGTAACTAAATCATTTAATAAAACTTCAATCCCCACTATTTCACTTTTTCTATTTGTTTTTACGATTTTACTAATGCAGTTGATAACATGTTTCCAATAAATGATTTTTTTAACATCTATTTATTATTTAGAGCATCCAGTAACCTATTTATATTTATTTTGATGATTGTTTTA